ACAGGGAGCCCTGGGGGTCACAGGGAGCCCTGGGGGCCACACGGAGCCCTGGGGGTCACACGGAGCCCTGGGGACCACACGGAGCCCTGGGGGTCACAGGGAGCCCTGGGGGTCACACGGAGCCCTGGGGGCCACACAGAGCCCTGGGGGCCACACAGAGCCCTGGGGGTCACAGGGAGCCCTGGGGGTCACAGGGAGCCCTGGGGGTCACACAGAGCCCTGGGGGTCACACGGAGCCCTGGGGGTCACACGGAGCCCTGGGGGACATCGGTGCCTTTGCTGTCACCCAACGGGTTTTTCTGCCTGGCCCGATCCCTGCGGAGCCTCCAGCCCTTCCCGAGCCACCTCCTCGTCCCTGTGAGTCACTGGCTGCAGCAGCCAGGCCCTGCCCGGGCCCGTCCCTTCCCGGCTGCTCTGGGAACTTCGGCTCCTGTGCCCGGCTCCGTCTGTCCCAGAGCGCCGGGGCAGCTCCTTCCTCCCGGCCAGCCGCCACCCTGGTGGCACACGGCTCTCCTCCAGGGACAGTGCTGGCCTCCTGCTGCCCTGGTGATTGTCCCTGGGAGCCCAGCTGCCACGCTCCCTGCTCCCATCCCTCGGCAGGCCGCCTTCCCCGGGTCCCAGACGTCCCCTCGGGGTCAGCCCTGATGTCACCCCTTGTCTTGCAGTGCTGAGGAATGTAAACAAGTCTGCTGGGCTCTGAGGGACTTCACCCGCCTGTTCCGATAGCTCCGGCTCCACACGGCTCCTGTCTCCCAGGTAAGGCCCGGCCCTGCCGCCCCCCCGGGACAGGGGACACGGGGACAAAGGGCTGAGGCTCCCCTGCTCCTGCCAGGAATGTCTTGAAGGAGAAGACAGGAAACAGCAACCCAAGAATGTGTCCCACAATCAGCCGAGGGCTCTCGCCCGCTCCAGCGCATCCCGGAGTCCGGAGCCGCGGGAGGACGGCTCGGGGATCCCGCCTGCCCGGCGGCCTCACGGCCCGGAGCTCGGCCAACAGCCCCCGGGAACACCCCCGGGAACACCCCCGGGAACACCCCCCGGGCACAGCCCCCCGGGAACACCCCCGGGAACAGCCCCCAACCCAACTGCAACCCCACCAGGCACCGGAGCCAGGCGCGTCCACTCGGATTCGCCCGGCAGAAAAAGAAGTAGAAAAACTTCCTGTGAAACGGAGACAAAAAAGAAGGAAAAGAAACAAACGAAAAACAAACAGTAGAAATTGTTTAGGAAGATGGGGGGTCAGGCTGGGGGTCCTGGGGCGCCGCCCCCCTGAGCCCACCGTGGCCTGCCTGGTGCTGACTCCCAGAGACGACACAGGCGGGACGGACTCTGCAAATAGAGATTTATATTTTATTTTCTTCTGCTTTTTTAGTTTGTTTTCTTGTTTGGTTTTTTTTTCTTTTTTTCCCTTTTTTGGGGTTTTCTTTGGTTTG